AGTTGTATTCAGAGACTCAAACTGAGCAAAAACATGAATTTGCTGCAGATGCTGATAATAATCTGATGATATTCTGATGTTTGTCATGTAAATCAGTGAGATCTTTATGACAGTAGAGCAGATACTGACATACAATGATCTAAATATCAGTCGTCTCTATATCTCCAGTAATCTGTCTCAGTGAGATGAGAGTGAGATGCTCCAAACATATAATGCAGTGATTGAGAGCTGAAGAAATACAGGCTCCTCAGAAGATGTGAGATGTTCTGGAGGCTTGTGAAGATCATTCCTCCGCTGAGGAACAGTGAAAGTAAAGCTTCTGGAAACAAACGCTCCTCAAAAGATCCTGAGGATCAGATTTGAGACTCTAAAACATGATTGATGGAGAATCAAGTAAAGCTGAGCTGCTTCAGTGCAGTAAGTGTTCATCTGGAGATATTACTGCAGTTATTCTGATGCTTACTTGATCAAAATCAGTCAAGATGTGAGAGCAGAAGATGATCTTCAGGCGGTGAGAGGAGATGAAGCAGAAGAGGTGATGGAGCTTCTGGCTCGCTGACAGACACACGTGAGTCTGCATGAGCTGCATTACTGTTATTTCACACGGATGGCCATTTACTGAGCCCACATCGTACAAGCTGTTATCTGCACACTGGCTCTTTTGATTGTGCACTTCATACAGACAGCTGCTTTATATAATGATGCTGTCCTGAATGCCGTTTCAGTTTAGCATCCCAAAAGACATGCTTTCATGCGTGTCAGAAATGAATGAAGCACAGTCTGGTTAGTGTGGAAACGTGTTTCTTCCACGGGATAAAAACATGAAGGTAATTGTGACTATCTCACACTTCTGCTGAGAAGAAAAGTCAAAACTGTGAGACATAAACTCGCAATTAGGAGAAAACATCTTAGAAAAAATTGCAAGTACTTTTTATTTTATTCTGTGGCGGAAAACAAAACAAAAATAGAATTGAGAAAAACGTCAGAATTGTGAGAAAAACTTTAAATTGTGAAAAGAAACGTCAGCATTTTGAGTATAAGTGCAATTATGAGGAAAAGGTCAGAATTGTGAGATAAAAAGTCACAATTACCCTTTTTAAATTTTTTTTAATTCTGTGGTGCAAACAAACAAAAAAAATTGTGAAATATAAACTTGCAATTGAAAGTCAGAATTGTGAGAAGTCGCTATTACCTGTTTTTATTTAAAGTTTTATATTTTTATTAAAAAAAAACAGAATAAAAAACATCAGATTTCTGAATTTATCTCGCAATTGACTTTTTTCTCAGAATTCAGAATTTATATCTTGCAATTCTTATAAAAAATTTAATAGTGAGTTAAAAGCTGGCGGTTATTAAGCCTCTTATTAAGAAACCACAACTAGATCCTAGTGAACTGGAAATTACAGACCCATCTCAAATCTTCCTTTTATGTCTAAAATTTTAGAAAAAGTTGTGTCTGCTCAATTGTGCTCCTTCCTGCAAAAAAAAGATCTCTATGAAGAATTTCAGTCAGGTTTCAGGCCCCACCATAGCACAGAAACTGCACTTGTTAAAATTACAAATGACTTGCTTCTTGCGTCAGACCAAGGCTGTGTCTCATTGCTAGTTTTACTTGATCTTAGTGCTGCATTCGATACTATAGATCATGACATACTCATAGATCGATTACAAAACTATACAGGTATTCAAGGGCAGGCTTTAAGATGGTTTAGATCCTACCTGTCCGATCGCTACCACATTGTTCATTTAAACGGGGATTCATTATCACCAGTAAAATATGGAGTGCCACAAGGATCTGTCCTAGGTCCTCTGCGATTTTCGATATACATGTTGCCACTTGGTAATATTATTAGGAAATACGGGATTAGTTTCCACTGTTATGCCGATGATACTCAACTATATATCTCAACAAGACCAGATGAAACTTCTAAATTATCTAAGCTAACGGAGTGTGTTAAAAATGTAAAAGAATGGATGACCAAAAAGTTGCAGTTACCTTTTTTTTTTTTATTCTTCTGGGGAAAAAAATTGAAATATAAACTTGCAATTGAAAGTCAGAATTGTGAAAAGTCGCAATTACCTTTTTTATTTAAAGTTTTTTATTTAAAAAAAAAAATTGGAAAATAGTCAGAATTCTGAATTTATCTCGCAATTATGACTTTTTTTTCCTCAGAATTCATCATTTATATCTTGGAGTTCATAGAAAAAATGCCTGAATTGTGAGTTAAAATGTTGCAGTTTACCTTTTTTAAATTTTGTATTCTGTGCTGGAAACAAAGTAACAACAAAAAAAGAAACAACTGCGAGATGTAAACTCGGAATTCTGATGAAAAAAAAAAGAATTCTACATTTATATATCACAGCATGACTTTTTTTCTTTTCTCGCAATTTGTAGTCTGAATTGTGAGATTAAAACATCGCAATTACTTTTATTTTTATTCTGTTGGAAACAGGTTTCGATCTCGGAGTACAAGATGAGATTTAGAAAATTTTTTGTCATCATGAAATGCAATCTAAAATCCACAGCGACGAGCCCACGGTGAAATTAGAAGTCCATTAACCAGCCTGCAGTCTCATTCATTTATGTGCAGTGTCTCACAGCCAGATATTAGCTGCCAAACGTAATGCTCTTTCCTCATTCAGACAGACTTCAGACAAGATTTTTCGAATTATTGGCTGTGTATCAACTTTAATGCACTTAACAAAATGTCAAAAGTTTTCAATGACAAAAAGTATTCATAATGTATCGTTTGATTTACAATCTGCAAAGGCGTTGGAAAATGTTAAAATACTCATTTCATTTTACAAAATAAGCTTGTGTTTTCTCAAAATCTGAGGTTTTCTGTGGCTGTTTGGATGCAGTAAAAGCAGAAAATGCCAGGCTCATGTTTGTATTTTCACTGGCCATAATTCTGATCTTCAAATCAGGGTTAGGCAACATCATGCATGTGAGAATAGGCTGAGAGCTGAGAAATCATAATAATCTGTCTCCAATTCAGACAGCAATCATGTGTTTGTGGTGTTTTACTGCCGATTAAGTGAAAATGCAAGACTTCTTCACCTTCCTAATGATTGTCGAAAGCAAAAATGCTTCAAAATGCATCATATTCTGTAATAAACTGATGTTGTCTAGCAAAACATGTTGTTTCTTTTAATAGTTAGTCCTATTTCTGAAATGCTCAAAAAACATCATTTTAAATTGAAGATTTGCATATTTGAATTGCATTTAAAATTTCCATGCATTTGGATACACCGTTTAACATAAACTAATAACAACTTAATGTGATGCATATTTGTCAGTCATGCATAAATCCACAGCTAGCCATATTTTAATCATGTTTTAAAACTGAATAAATGTAATTGTCACAATGAACAGATTTATGCAGATTTGAATAAATGCATTTTGAAACTGTGATTATTTCAATAAAACCAAATAGATGCAAATAGGTAATAATAAATTATGCATGTTTTTTTTTTTGAGTGCAGAAATCTGACCCGTTTCATGATTGACAAATATGCATCATATTTGTTTATGCATCACATTAAGTTTATTAGTTTGCTTCTATTCAAACTGTTTATCCAAATGCATGGACATTTTATATGCAATTCAAATACATCTTTTAAATTCAGTCTAAGTATTTTTGATGTGAGTCCAGCATTTAAAAACCTATTTAACTCTTACCAAAGTAAAATGGGTTGCAACTGCAGTTTCATGTTGACTTCAGGTTTTATTGTCTCTCTTTGTCCCTCGGATCGGACTCGTCAATTTTCACTTCTCTTAAACAAATGAGTTCTATTAAAAGTGGCTTGAAACAAAATACTTCAAACTGTGATACTCTAGAGAGCATGAAAGTGGTTACCGGATAAAAGCCCACTAACATGAGCATCCGCTGACCAAAAAAGAACAAAAAAAACACCAAACAAAAGGTGAAAGACTCTTTATTCTATAAGAACATTACTGATGGATATTGAAAATTATAGCTCGTGTTTGTCACTGCTGTAACTCGGGCATCAGTACTACTATTGCTCGGATTTTTATAACCACTAACGCTAAGTATTAAACTGATTTATGTCAAATCATGTGCTGTTACTTCATCTGATGCATGTATTGTTGGTCAGTATGTGAGTCTGTCTGACTGCGTCCAGCAGAGATTATCCTGAAGCCGTCTGCTCTTTACCAGATCCTCAACTCTTTAACTCACAGATCCTATTAGTCGAGAAAAGGCTCCCACTGACCGCCCAACGCACACAATCAGGGCGTCCGTCGGGTCAAACGTAGTTAATAGTCTGTATATCTTCACCTGGAATCACGCAGGTCTGAGTCATCAGCTCTACAGGAATCATAAAGCACTTTCTCCCTATGATTCATTTCAGGATCATTTCCACTAGTAGCTGAAGAGGTAATGATGCATCTAATGCACTTTTTTTTTTTTTTTATTGAGCAAAAATACAAAAATAAATTAAATAAAAACATTTGATCTTGTACCTGATCTCCACGGAGCATTGACCTCCAGTTCAGCACCCTGGACAGCGGCATCATCATGACACTTTGACATTCGTTTGAGAACAAACACATTATATTAGAGTTAAACACAGATGTCGAAGTCCAAAATGCACAATAAAAGTATTTCATAAACATGGCTTTTGAGCTATATTGCAAAACTTTAGTTTGTGTGAACAGGCTACAGTTAAAGTTAATAAAAAATGTCACTCATGCTTGTGTTCAAATCAAAACATTGCATTGCACTTATGTGACGTTTGTGTGTGTCTGTGTGTCTGTGAGTGTGTGTGTGTCTGTGAGTGAGTGTGTGTGTGTGTAATTGTGAGTGAGTGTGTGTGTGTGTGTGTGTCTGTGAGTGTGTGTGTGTGTGTGGTTGTGTGAGTGAGTGTGTGTGTGTGTAATTGTGAGTGAGTGTCTGTGTGGTTGTGTCTGTGTGTGTGGTTGTGTGAGTGAGTGTGTGTGTGAGTGTGTGTGTGGTTGTGTCTGTCTGTCTGTCTGTGTGTGTGTGGATTAGCTCGTGTCACGTCACGGCTGTGCTCGGTATTTTTAACCGGCTTTACAAGAGCATCTTCAGAGCAAAGCGGGCGTTAACGGAGCCGCAGGCGGAGATTCTCTCATTCATGCCTCTGTAGACGCTCGGGAAGCCGCTATGTCTGTGCAAACCCCGCTTCAGGTGGTCAACATCCCCTGGAGGAACAACAACTTGAGCCTGATGAGCCGCGACCCGCCGCTGTCCGATCAGGGAGAGACCATCATCGGTGTCTACCTGCTCATTCTGGGTCAGTCTCTCTTTGCACTTCACTCCTCTGTTAGTTTTACCTCACTTTCACATTATAGAACTTTCAGGCTCTGCTCGTGAATGCTTTTTATAAGAGAAGCTAGCTGAACAAACAACCAATTTCCAAAATTATTTTTTTGTAAAAACAGAAATATAATTAAAAGCAGATCAAATGACCTCAGAAACAAAGCTATTTTCAGAGAATATACCTTGAATATACTTGTATTTTGACAAGGCAAGTCACCTTAATTAACACATTACAAGTAGATTCAATAGATTCTCTGAGACAGGTTTGATTATCAGGTAATTTTATCTAGTTTTAAGGATATTGAGAATTTACTTTGAATCTACTTGTAGTTTGTTAATAAGTGACCCCAATTGTCAAAATACAAATAGATTCAAGGTATATTCTCTGAAAATAAGTATTGATTTTTATTTGCATGTAATTTTTCGTAGTTTTATGTAAATTATAGAGAATATACATTAAATCTAAATCTACTTGTATTTTGTCAATAGAGGTGCTTGGCTTGACAAAATACAAGTAGATCTAAGGTATATTCTCTGCAAAATAAATTTTAATTTTGATTCTAAGGTAATTTTTCCTAGTTTTATGTAAATTATAGAGAATATACATTAAATCTAAATCTACTTGTATTTTGTCAATAAAGGTGCTTGACTTGACAAAATACAAGTAGATTTTAGGTATATTCTCTGAAATTGAATCTTAATCTTGGTTCTCAAGTAATTTTATATAGTTTTAAGGATATTTAGGTGTTTTTACTAGAGAATAACACAATGATGATTATTATGTTTTTTTTGCAGCGTATATGTAATGCATTATTCAGTTAATCATAATGTTTTTCTATTATGTGTATTATGCATTATCGAAACCGAAAATGTTCATCACAGATCATCTTTCTTTATTTTCGTTCCATTAGCATATTGCAGATGCAGGTGTAATTGTTGTAGTTATTGTTAGTGATGAACACATGGATTACTGCGGCTCAGAGATCTTCTGTCTGATCGGGGAGGAAATCTGTCTGTCAGTCAGGGGTCATTAGAGAGTTAATCAGGACGGGGTTATTTGTGGAGCACAAACTCTGATCCTACATACAGTAAACCACTTGTACAGTGAGCATATCAGATGGGACTTTTACACTGTAATATTCTACTATATATATATATATATATATGTTAAAAGTCAAATGGCTTTGTGTGTCATTGAGAAGGTGATGAGCTATACCTGATTTTTAGGATTGGGCTGATCCTTTTTCCAACTCCTTTGTTTTCTGTCATGTTGGTGTTTTGTCTTTCACTTGGATGTTATCAGTTGCACTGAGTAAATACAGCTGATAAAACAAGAACTGTGTCTGTCTTCATTTCAGGCTGCAGAGCAACAAAATGTGATTATTTTAAAGGGGGCTGATTCTTTTCTAAACCCACAGTAAATAATAAGTGAAGTAAGTGTAACATATCAGTAATTATATAATTTATGGATACAAGTAATTTAACTATATTTTCATAAAGTGTGAACAATGAAGTAGCATACATCTATAAAGTGACAACATACCTATAATATATATTTGATTATTAATTATAAATTGTTTATTTGAATATTATAACAATTTATGATAAGTCGCTGGGGGATATTTGTAGCAATAGCCAACAATACATTGTATGGGTCACAATTATACATTTCTCTTTTATGCCAAAAATCATTAGGATATTAAGTAAAGATCATGTTCCATGAAGATATTTAGTAAATCTCCTACCGTAAATATACCAGAACTTAATGTTTGATTAGTAATATGCATTGCTAAGAACTTCATTTGAACAACTTTAAAGATGATTTTCTCAATATTTAGATTTTTTTGCACCCTCAGATTCCAGATTTTCTAATATTGTCCGATCCTAACAAACCACACATCAATGAAAAGCTGATTCTTATTGTTTCAAAATAATTTACCCTTATGACTTGGTTTTGTGGTCCTGGGTCACATATTATATTACGAGTATTATTTATATTTTATAAAATAATTATTTAACTCATGTAACAATTTATATATAATTTTGTAATGTAATTCTATTTAAATGAACAATTGTTTCTGTTATGATAATATGATAATTATGATAATAATCATGGAGAATGTCTTGTGTGTTTCTTGGCAGGTTGGTTGTCGTGGTTTGGCAACAGCATCGTGATCTTCGTTCTGTTCAAGCAGAGATCGTGTCTCCAGCCCACCGACTATCTGACGCTCAACCTCGCCGTCTCTGACGCCAGCATCTCCGTGTTCGGATATTCCAGAGGAATCCTCGAGATCTTCAACGTCTTCAGGGATAACGGATACCTCATCACCTCTGTGTGGACGTGCCAGGTACAGGAAGTGGAATTGTGGGTAGCGGGATGATTTCAGATCATATAAATATAGAGATGAGAAGAGGGATTGTTTCTCAGGATGGGTTTACTTTTGAAAGGCAGTTTCTGAACAGACACAAACCGTAAGGTTTTAAATGCAAAAAAAAATCAATTGAACATTAATACATTTAAATAAAAATTACACAATTCATTGAACACATGTTGACTGTAGTGGGGCATGTTGTCACAGTATATAGAGTAAGTTGCCACAGTGGCTGTAAATACATATTTATTAATATATAAATAGTAATATATAAATATTTTTTTAATAATAGATATTTTTGAAATATAAAATGCTATACAAAGTTTTAAAAAATGCAAAACATTATTCAAAAATTGTATTGTATTACAGGTTATTTATTATTTCTTTATTACTAAATTTTGTTTTTTATATTAAACTGTAAAACAATTTTGAAACACAGAAAAATTTAACTTATTTGAGTATATATATATATATATATATATATATATATATATATATATATATATATATATATATCTTAT